GTCATAGATACTTTGTTTTGTATCTCTCAAATTTATCTTTATTATTGTCTTATGAAGTCCACATGTGTTAATATTCACCCATATTTACTGTTTTTTTCCCCCCCCTCATGATTCTCCTTATGATTCCTCCTCCTCTGTACTGGGTTCAAGTTTCTTCTTCCCAAAGACAGTCCTCAGCAGTTTTTCAGCGAGGGTCTATAACTGGTTCATTCTCAGTCTTTATCTTCTGACAAACGTCTTTATTTGGCGTTGCTTGTGTGTGATAATCGAGCAGGGTACAAAATCTAGGTTGACAGTATTCTCCCTCACCACTTTGCAGGTGTTAGCTCGTTGTCTTCTGACTCTATTGTTATCCTAGAAGAGCCTATGGTCTTCTCTGATACCTTTTCCTTTCATGTCAATCTCTTTCCCTGGCTGCTTTTAAGATTTTCCTTTTGTTTTTGGTGGTTTTAGTTTCACCACGATGTTTCTAAGTGTGGCTATACCTTTGGGCCTCTTGAATTTGAGGATTTATGTCTTCCATCAAGTCTTGAAGATTGTCAGCCATTCTTTTAAGAATGTATTTCCTCCTAATTTTTTTTTAAATTTTTAAAAATTTTTAAAAAAGATTTTATTTATTTGAGAGAGAGAGAGAATGAGAGATAGCACGAGAGGGAAGAGGATCAGAGGGAGAAGCAGACTCCCTGCTGAGCAGGGAGCCCGATGTGGGACTCGATCCCAGGACTCCAGGATCATGACCTGAGCTGAAGGCAGTCGCTTAACCAACTGAGCCACCCAGGCGCCCTCCTCCTAATTTCTTCATTATCTTTTTCTAGATGAGAAAATCTGATTAGATAGGTGTATGGTAGGTGTTTTTGTCTTTGCTCTTAAACATATCATATGATATATCTCCATCCATGATTTTCTCTTTCATTTTGGGTATTTTTCTCATCTGTAGCTCATTTCCCTAATTCCTGTGTCCAGGTAAGTTTTTTAACCAGTCCGTTGAATTTTTTAAATTTCAGTGACTATTTTATTTCCAGAAATTTTGTTGTTTTTTTCAAATGTCACTTTCTTTCTAACAGTATCTTGATTTTTCTTCACGTCCGATTTGTTTCTATTTGCCAGGCTTTTCCCATGCTGTTTCTTCTACTTTCTGCCCTCTGTTAGCTTTATGCCTTATAAAACTATTCCTGTTACATTCTATTTTGGATGATCTGTACACGAATTCAAGTTCTTGGATTTTGATCTTGCTGTTTATTGTATTCTCCCTGATGGCAGACTGTGTCCTTGTGGGTTTTGCAATTTGTAATTGTGAGCTTATGTTGAGCCGGGCTCGTGGTCTGGATTGTAGGATAGTTCCTCCTGTTTGGGGGTTTCCTTCAGCTAGAAACCTCAAGTGCTCTCATTGGCCCAGTGGCCCCAGTTTTTATGTCAGTTGGTCAGCCCTGTGGGTAATGTAAATTTGAATCCCAGCCGCCATGACATACAAGCTGTAGTTTTAGATTCTTAAGGAATATATCACCCTGCTCACTGCCATTACCCAAAGCCCAGCCTGAGGCATAAGCTTTTTGTCATTTGTGACGGCCATGGCGTTCTACCAATCAGATCTTTCAGAATTTACCATTCAGCTACAAGGAGTGCAGTTAGCTGGCAGCTGTAGTTATTAACGCCTTCAGGAAATGCCTTGGCTTTCAAGCTAAGTCCACGTTGTTCTCGGGCAGCCCCAGCCAGTGAGGGAGCAGGTGGGGTCCAAGGGCCTGGGCATTTCTACTCAACACAGGACTCCTCTAACAGGAATTATTTGCTCTAGAATCCTTTGGCTGGCTCAAACTCTGTCAGAACCACAGTATGTTCAGTTCCTGCTGCCCAAACCTGCTTGCACACCTCTTCCCTTTCATGGATGTTAGGTCTGTGTCCTGGTCTGAGACTTTGCCTGCAAAATCCTGCTTCCTCCTGCCTTTACCTTTTATAGCATTATTCCCCAGTAAACGTCCTGCACTCCAAACTGTGACTTGGTATCTGCTTCCTGAGGACCCAACTAGCATATCATCTTTTAGTGTTGGGGTGCATTTTTTCTGAACCATGTATTTTCTGAAGACGAGATCTTTAAGGGCCTTTCTCTGGAGGAGGCGTCAGCTCCAACTCTGACCTTCAACAAGCCCAAGGCCTATATACCCTTCTCTTATATACCCACCATCTTAGATGCAGCAACTGTTCACGTGCTTATAACGTGGGTGTTGTTTTGTCTTCGTTTCTGGTACACCAGGATTTCCCTTTACTCCTTTCTAAGCTCTGTATTTAAAATTATATTTATTATATCCCATCTGTTTTTTTTTTTGAGAGATTTTATTTATTTATTTGACAGAGAGAGAAACAGTGAGAGAGGGAACACAAGCAGAGGGAGTGGGAGAGGGAGAAGCAGGCTTCCCGCGGAGCAGGGAGCCCGATGTGGGGCTCGATCCCAGGTCCCTGGGATCATGACCTGAGCCGAAAGCAGATGCTTAACGACTGAGCCACCCAGGCACCCCATTTGGAATATCCAGATGTTTATATCAGGTTATACAACCCACAATATTTGCATTTATTCCTTTTTGCCCTATTTTCAAAGACAGATTATTTAAGTATATGTTTAATGTCTAAATTGCACTTTTAATGTGTTTAAATAATCATGTATAAATTGCACAATACTCGGGGTTAAAAGGAGCTTGATGATTACGTCAAATCAGGAATTTTGTTTATAGCTGTCAGGGAATGAAGCCTGCCTTAGGATTTGTGTAAGTGTACTGCCTCATCTTTTTACACACACCTTTATACGCACTTCCAGGAACACATTATATACAAATTAGGGGAGAGCCTAATATGAAGACAGAAGGAACCCGAGCAAGGGTCTGTGAGAAACGGGGGAGACATCAGTGCCCCCTGCAGAGACCAGGGACAGCTGGGTGATGCTGAGCCATGACCCGAGGGGTAAGGAGTGTGCCAGGTGCACAGGGGAGCTGGGGGGCGGGGCACTGCTGCAGCGGGAACAGCATGTGCAGAGACATGGAACAGCATGGTGCTCAGGGAAGGCAGGCAGTTCAGTTTAGGCAGAAGATGAAAATAGGGAGGAGCCACCTCATGAGGGTCAGCTATGCAGGCCTAAAATTTGGATTTTCAGCAGTAGGTGATGGGAGTCATTGAAGGACTCTAAGCCAGGGAGTGAGAGCGCTCAGATTTCCCAGTAAGGAAGGTCACCCTGGGTCAGTATGAGGGATGGCAGGATGGGCTGGGGAGCTACACCCTTGAGGTCCAGGAGGACTCTGACAAGCCTTCAGTGATGTGGAGTAAGACAGAGAAAAGGAGAGCGAGAAGGTGACAGGAACCTCAGAGGAGCAGGGGTATCTTCCCGAGAGTGGAGATGAAATAGAGTAATATTTGAAGGGGCTAGCACAACCCTCACAGGTCTTGATGCTGTTGAAATGGTTATGGCACAGTTGACCCCTCTTGTCTTAAGTCTGCCCGGGAACAGGACAAAGATAACATAGCACTGCTACAGAACAACGGAAAGTTGGAAGGGATGGGGGCCATCTTTGGAAGCATCAGGAATAGAACAAAGTTGTAGAAAGATGAAGGTAAAGAAAGATGTCAGGAGGAGGCGGGCAGCAGATGGGTACCTTTCTATGGGCAGCAGAGGGTGGCTGATGAGCATGATGAACCTCAAATGTTCTCACTTAAGCACATTATTTTGGTGCCAGAACATAGGAGCATCCACGGAGGATTTGGCCTGGCCTCAGACAGGAGATGAGGATTGCCCTGGGAGTTGGAACCTGTAGTAAGCCAAACATGGTCCCCCCAAAGATGTCCACATCCTAATCCCTAGAACCTGTGAATATGGTGCCTTACATGGGGCACCTGGGTGGCTGGTTAAACATCTGCCTTCGGCTCAGGTCATGATCCCAGGGGTCCTGGGATCGAGCCCTGCATCCGGCTCCCTGCTCACTGGGGAGTCTGCTTCTCCCTCTGCCCGCCCCCCCCCTTGTACTCTCTCTCTCTTGCACATGCACTCTGTCTGAAACAAAATCTTAAAAAAAAAAAAAAGATGGCACCTCACATGGCCAAAGGGATATTGCAGGTGTGATTAAATTAGGATCTTCAGATGAAATGATTATTCAGGATTATCTGGGTGGGCCCAGGGTTGTGCAAGATTCCGAGAGGGAGGCAGGAGAGTCAAAGTCAGAAAATGATGTGATGATAGAAGCAGAGGTTGGAGTGACTCCCACGGAAGATGAGGGCCACGAACCGAGAGACGCAGGTGGCTGCTACAAGTGGGAAAAGGCGAGGCAATGGATTCTCCTCTGGACTCCAGGAGGAACGCAGCCCTGCTGACACCTAGATTTTAGCTCCCTAAGATTCATTTTGGACTTCTGACTTCTAGAAGTATAAGACAAATCTGTACTGATTTAAGCCACCAAGTTTGTGGTCATCTGTTACAGCAGCAAGAGGACACTGACCGAGAAGGCACCGCAGTGCTTTGGCCTAAGCAGGCTGCTTCAGGGCAGCAGTGGGCCCCCAGCCAAGGCGCTCGCCTTGGTCGCCCTACCTGCTGATCAGGTGCCCCCTGTGGAAGTTGATACTGAGCTCCACCCCCCGCCCTCCCAACCCTGCCCTCCCACCTTCTCTGTTTTGAGAGCGCACCCAAGCCAGAGCCTTGGGAGTCGGCCACTGAGGGAACCACTCTGTGGCTGGCGGCTTTGGCAGGCTACCCGGGGTTCCCGCACGCAGCGCGTGTGGCAGGAGAGCGTGTGGGAACGGCCGAGCGCGGCAGTGGGGCGGAGGCACGGTGAGCTGGGCAGACTCCAGAAGGGTCCCTCGCTGATTGCCCAGGACTGGAGACACGTCCAGTGGGGGAGCGGGGAGGTAGGCAAGAAGCGCGTGAGAGAGGTCAGGGCTGCCTGTCATGAGCGACGCCATCATCACAGTGGGCCTGGGTGAGACCCACTTCTGCTCTTTCTCCATGTCCCACTCCCGTGCCCTTGGGGCAATTTTACGCAGATTTTATTTTACATTTTCATTTTCTTAAAAAGACAAAGATCAAAATGTGAAAGAGACGGAACACACGAGAGAAAACATTAACAATCGTTAACTCCGGTTGATGGGAACGTCGGTGTGAGTCTGGCTCAGACGCTACAGGCGGACTTCGCTCCGGGACCGGGATAACCACCACCCCAGGCATCGTCAGTCCTCCCCTCGCCCCTGCCCAGCCAAGATGCAAGGAGAGAACATCCAGCACCCGCTGTTTTCTGATATTCTGCCCTTTTCCCCCCCAGACCTATCTTCACGTACATCACATCAAATTACATAAAGCCAAATTACACAAACCATGATTACATTCTGAAGCCCGGTGACGGGATGCACTATGGTTTTCCCTCCACGGTGTCAAACGTCTCTGGATTCTTCCACTCCTAGCTCTCAGGGACGGTGGCCTCCCTAGGTCTGAGGTGACCAAGCGCAGGGGGAGGGTGGGAGGAAGCTGGCCACACAGCTCGTGAGCAAGAGGGGTTTGGAGGCCTCAGTGCCGAAGCACCGGTCTAAGAATGGAACCAACCAAAGCGCCTTGGTGCTGGTTAGGTTTTATTTTAACAGGATGTTTCCTCTTTGTTTTTCAAAATATCAGTTATATCAATATTAGAAGTGTAAACAGGTACAAAATATACAGTACATAGAAACAATTTTCTTAACTAGTCTATTGCCTAATAAAAGTACGCATGAGGGAGCTGACTGAACAGAGGCCATGGTTTCTTGCTCCTCAGGGGAAACAAATGACCCATTTGGGGGAAGGGAACCAGTCCAGTGGCTGCTCCAACAAAATGGGATGGATACTCGTGTAGGAGGGACAGCACTGCGGTAGAATCAAGGAAGCTGGGCCATTTCTAATTCTACCTCTAAGATGTCAGACGGGGAATGAGCAAGCGCTCAGCCCTCGCTCAGCCTCTCAGACCTGCCACCGGGCACCCCCTGCGGTGGGGGTGGGGATGGTGTGCACGCACACCAGAGGGGCCGGTGCTCAGCTACATCTTGATGCCTGACGATTTTGCTCCAGCACATGTGGCACAAATCTTAAGAGGGCAAAGACGAAAACCTTCCCTCCCCCAAAACTGATGCTCCAGGAGGATGAGCTGTGTCTAATCAGAGGCCCCTCCTCGACTGCGGGCACGGCAGCTTGCACTCACCGAGCGAGGCTGGGATGTGTCCCCCTTGAGGAATTTATTTCCTCATCTCTAACAAGAAAGAACACTTGTCCTGCGTGCTTCACAAGGTCACAGTAATCAAATGAGATGCGAAGTGAAAGCATTTTGACAATGAAGAAACACCACACAGAGAGAAAAGGAAAGAGAGGCATTTCGTTGGGAGTGGAAAGTGGCCCCACTCCGGGGTGGGCAGGCCAGGCTTTGTTCCTGGCTCTGCTGGGATGTGACATCGAAGGGTTCCACTTGCCCGCCTCAGCTGCCTCACCTCTGCAGCCCTAACACTGGGTTTTCAGATGACTCTCTGTTATAAGGCTCTGAGTCACCTAACAGGGTGACACCACCCAAACCCCTTTTGATAGGGGTGACAGATGGCCCATAATAGGCCAGCACGTTTGGGGGCCTTTTCAGATGGAGGAGAGCTGGGAAATGGTACTGGCTGCTGGTGGGCAAGTCCTTCTCCCAGCTGACACGAGGTGGGGGTTGTTTCCACATTGTAGAGCAGGTGGTGATGGGACCAGCTTGCAGCCCTGCTCCGCCCCAGGCTGAGCATAGCTTTTGTAGGGGGTGGTCTCAACTCCCCCCAACTCTGTGCCACCACCAGCCCATCCCTAGACATCAGCGGGGCCTGTGTCCCCAGCCGGCCAACTCCGGGCACACTCACTGTCAGACTTGGTAAGGACACAGCCCACACAAACACACGCTCCGGAAACCAAAAGTACACTATAAAGTTTAAACTGGTGCTACGACTATTTTCCAGCTTTTTTCGTCAAGAATTAAAAAAAAAAAAAAAGTTTTCATAATTAAATTACTTAAAATTCTATGTTGCTCAGTTTCACAATCAGAGAATTCTACTTTGTTTAGGGGTGGAAGCCGGATAGTGTCTCTTTTTCCAGTGATCAGTTCAGCAACTTGGAAATTTGCTTCCCCCAGGCTCCCGTTCCCGCCTCCGCTTTCACCACCACCCCGACGTCGAGTGGGACTTCGGCCACGCGCGGTCTGCGGGGGCGAAGGGGCCGGGCGCCCGGGCCAGCCTCGGGGGGGGGGGGTGGCTCACAGGTCCGCGCCATCGCTGGGTCCCAGGACGCTCAGGCCACAAGTCCAGTCGGTCACAAGGTCTGTGGAGGCCAAGGGTCCTTTAGAGGCCGGGCTCTTGAAGGGGTCCGGGGGGCCGGCCGGGAGGGGCGGGAGGAGCTGGCCGCGGGCCGGGCCCTTGGTCCCCCCTGCGTGGTTGCGCTGGTGCTTGCGCAGGTGGTCCTTGCGGATGAAGCTCTTGCCGCAGACGGTGCAGGTGAAGGGCCGCACGCCCGTGTGGGTTCGGTAGTGGTCGATGAGCTTGGAGCGCTCGGTGAAGCGCTTCTCGCACTCGGTGCAGGGGAAGGGCCGCTCGCCCGTGTGCAGCATGCGGTGGCGGATGAGGTGGGCCGGCCGCGTGAAGCAGCGCCCGCACTCCCCGCACCGCAGCGCGCTGCCGTCCCGCGCCCCGCCGCCCGCCGCCGCCGCCGCCGCCGCCGCCGCCGCGCCCCCCGGCGCCCCCTCCGGCAGCCCGCAGCTGCGCTGGTGCGCGCTCAGGCTGACCTGCAGCTGGAAGCTCTTCCCGCACGTGGCGCAGGTGAAGGGCCGCCCTCCCGGAGGGGCTGCGGGGTGCTTCTTCAGGCCTGGCTTGTGGCCGAAGCCTTTTGTCCGGCCGGGGTATTTACAGGGGTCACTGAAGGGTCTCGGGGCCTGGGTGGGGTCCAGCACGGCCTCTCCGTTGTCAGGGGAGGTGTAGGGCACCCCCTCGGGCCCAGTCCTCGGGTTCAGGCCCACAGGGGGTTTACACCTGAAATTCCAGCCCCACCGGACCCCCCCAAAGAGCCAGTCCCCGGGGGGGGTCTCCTCCTGGGCCACGGCCGGGCTGAGCTCACCCATGTCCCGCTCAGGCCGGGCGGGCTCTCTCAGCCCCAGCACGGGGTCCTGGCTGGGGAAGGAGCTGCCCTGGTTCTCCCAGGCTCCTTCCTGGACAGGACTAGGGAAAAACCTTGTGGCTTGGCCTGGTCCAAACAGGGTCCCATGAGCCTCTAGGTCAGTAGGATGCACCGGTGTGGCCACCACCTCCTCTTCCTGGACTTCTGTTTTTATCACAATTTTTACATCTGCTGAGAAAGACAGAAAGACCCCGTATCATTCTGTCCCGGTACCTGCTTAGAGAAGGAAGACCTGATACTTTCATCGGGCTGTTCAGCTCCCCGACCACCGCTGAGCCCTACTCTCCCTGCCTCAGGATCCGGCTCAGCAGGGCATCCTCCCCGCGGGCCTGGGGCTGCCTCAGCCTGTGGATGAGGCCCTTCACAGGTAAAGCCAATGTATCCGCTCACCAAGTTCCGAGTTCACGCTGGCAATCAAGACTAATCATGCGTTTATCCTGAAGCTGACCATTGGTGGCCAAGTAGCCAAAGGGCAGAAGCCCAGTGCTGCGCTCCGATGTATCTACGATTGTACTGTGCTCCGCCTCCCCCCCCCCCGCCCCCCAGGCCAGCTGTGAGCTTCAGGTAGCTCTCTGACCGACAGCTCCTCTATGAATACTCTATTTCATAGGGTTGTATGAGGATTAAACCTGATGACACGTCTGAAAGCACTTAGCATGCTAATGATAAAAATATTAGTGAAATAGTATAAATGTTTTTGATTTTATATAAATGCACTTGAATCTCACATCCTGAAGTTTTAGATCAGGGATGCAGGCTTTTAGCACATTTTGGGGGGGCTAAAATATGATAGAAATGATTAAAGTAACAGACAACTGGCCTTCAAAACCGAAGTGAAAAGAAAGCCAATACATAAATTTGGTAGTTGTTCTTCCGATTCTGGCCTTCAGACACCTGTCTTTGGTAGTGCTGATACCTAAGAAGCGGTTGTGGTTTGCTTTTGGCTTTTCAGTGCCAGCCAGGAGCCAGGATTGCTGAGCCTGGGCAGGAGGCACATCCTCTCAACGGATCAGCTTACCAGGGTTACTGGTTCAGACCATATGAGAAAGGGACAGCCAGAAACATTCTCAAGAAAGGCTGTCCAAGTGTAAGAATTTGGAAGGAGACAAAGGACAGACTGTATAGAGTCCATACGTCACAGACACCTAACGGCCTGTTGGCCGAAAGGTCAGGGCAGTTCACTGGTAAGAGTGAGGACCCTGGGCTGAGGCAGCCTCCCAGGAAGATGCGACCCTTTCCCGTCCTCTGCCACCCCATACCTTCCGTGGAGGCCGCTGTGTTGAGCTTCAGTGTCCCGTCTGAGCATGCTGAAGAAGGATGGTGGGGAGGGAGGTCCGCCTGCCAGGAAGTGGGTGGGAGAGTGGTTGAAAAGTTGGAGTGGACGCCTGCAATGAAGAGATCAGAGCCCGTGGGTTAGGGGAAGGAAGGGCGCGGAAAGCCTGTGCGAAAGGAAGGGCAGGCTAGACCCTAAGACCCCGCCTTTTCTGTGGGAGCAAACAGCCCCGCCTCTCCCACACCCAGTTCTCTCTTTTGCTCCTTCTCTGAGGCACCAGGAGGCTCAGATGTTATTTATTTCATACAGGCTTCTTGAATATGAGGCATCTGGCAATTTAAATGCCCAATGGTGGGGGCAGGAACGGGAGTGCAGCTGATGAAGGTCAGGCAGAGAGATGCCAAGACAAGAGCATCATCCAACCCACGGTGGGGCCTGCAAAATATCATTTGGTACAGCCCCCTGCCTTCAGGTGGGGAAACTTCTCCGTGAGTCAGGAGCCCACAGCTCCCACAGTGCTTCCAGAAGCTCCTTCCCTGCACCCTGCCCTTAGTCCCTGCATCTCGTTCCTGGTGTCTGCTCTGGTTGTGGCCACTCACCAGAGGCAGCATCTGTAGAGACGTCTCCTGCTCCGGAGTCCAGCTGGCTGAGGCCCCACGGCTCCTCCCCGATATCTGGCTGTCCGGCTGCCCATGCCTCTACCCCCAGAGCCTGCTGCTCCTGGAGCTGGAGCTCGCCCTCCTGCTTGATCTGCATTAAGAGGTCAGGGGCAGGAACTGGGGGCCCCGAGCCTAAGAAAGGGAAAGGGCATGAACATATAGCATCAGGGCCCCTCGGGCCTGGGGCGGACACACATCCAGCCAAGGACGTGGACGCAGGGGCTTACAGGGGTCAAAAAGCAAAAGAACCTGGTGGGAATGGAAGGCCAGAGCAGCGGGGACAGCAGGGCCTTCTGGGCAAAGCAGGAGGTCACATGGTATTGAGCATAGCGCAGGATGGGAAGGCATTCTCAGGGCGGGACCTCTGGCCCCCGCAGAAGACTGAGCTGCTCTGGGCAAGTCCTGCCCTCACTCTTAACACAGAAATGCTATATAAAAAGTCACTCCAAATATCCCCCCAAACCTAACTTCCCCACCTGTATATAAGTAAGCATAAAAGAAAGATTCCAGATACAAGAATCAAACAGCTAATGCAAAGTCAATCAAGAGTTCAAATAGGAGCCAAGCAACCCAGCGAGTTGCTGGAACAGGACACAGGCCTTAGGGACTGGGCTTTGATGCCCAAGCGAGGCTAAGAGCCCTGCTGAGCTGTCTGAGCCATGAGGCTCCGTCCTAGTGAGCTGGGGACTAGAAAAATTCCATCTACCTGAGGGCACTACCAGGAAGCTGCCACCTGTCTAGGGCCATGGGTGGGACAGCCACCCTAAGAAAGTGGAATTTTCCCACGTCCACACTGAATTCATACCACCCACACGGTGCAGAGACCAGAAGCTGAGAAATCCACAGAAACATGGGCTAACCCCCCCTCCCCCGCCACAACCCATGAGGCCCCCCAGCACAGGCAAATGCAAACCTGCCCCCCAGGGGACACCCCCACAACTCAGGTCCCTATGAAAAAACTAAACTTACAACCAGAAGAGGAGCCAAACAACATGAGAGTCGTGGCCGAACTGACTCCCAAGAACTACAGAAAAAAGAACAAGCCGAAGGGTGCAGGGACCTAAGTACCACCCTGGGAGTTGACGCACTGCGGCCTGTGCCCAAGGCTGTCCCCTGCCAGGTCACACCACAGAGTGGCCTGAAAGCCGCCAGGCCGAGACCGTGGTGGCCCCGAGAACCAGTAGAGGCGGACAGAGAATCTCAGGAGGACAGCATTTTCCACATAGCTTGCAGGAGTTACTGAGCTCACCACTACAAATCACCACCTCAACAAGAAAAGTGGCAGCCTCAGGGGATCAGAGGTCATGTACTGCAGGATCTGGCCTGCAGAGATGCTGGATACTGGAATTACCATACGCAGAATATAAAGTTTAATATATCCGGAAAAATAAAAAGGGGGACAGTCTGATAAATCAGAGCCTACCCAAACAGACCAGGCAGATTTTGAAAAAAGAAGAACATATAACTTTGGAATTGTAAAATAAAACCACTGAAATCTAAAAATCCAGTTTATAGGCAAAACAACAGAAAGCAAAGAACCGAGCCGAGGATGGTGAGCTAACTAGAAGACAGATAAGAAATGATGGACGGAGCTGAAAATATGAAGAGACGCCCACCGTTGCGAAGGGCAGTACGAAAACATTCCAAAATGAAGAAGTAGGGGGAAGGCAGGCAAGGCAATATTCGGAGAGACAATACTGCAAAATTTCCCAAACCGCTGAAAACTACCGATGATTAAAGCCGGATCAAGAGAAAGAAGTCCCTGCCTGGACATGTGGAAGGACTGCAGGCCCCCAGAGTCAGAGGCTGTCTGGTGGGGGACAAGGCAGACCGCCCACAAGGCCACAGCGGCTGGACGGGTGGATGGCTTCTCAGCTTCCCCTCTCAGCAAAGCGTCTCCAAGGGGCTAGGAGAAAATAACATTCACACTAGAATCCATATCCCTCAAATACAGGAATGGAGTAAGAGTATTTTCAGACACATAAAAACTCCTATACAAACACAAACTGAGAGTCTGTCACTCACAGACCCACAAAAGACTTCTAAAGGATATATTTGTAAGGGAAAAAAAAAAAAACTCCTAAAGTCTCCTCTAAAAGAACAGAAACAGCACATCTAACTTCCAAACTTATTAAAAATAATACTAGTTTGAGAGGCGCCTGGGTGGCTCAGTTGGTTGTGTCTACCTTCAGCCCAGGTCATGATCCCAGGACTCTGGGATCGAGTCCCGAGTCGGGGGAAGTCCCTGCTTCTCCTCCCTTTGCCCCGACCCCCGCTTGTGTGCTCTCTCTAATAAATAAATAAAATCTTAAAAGAAAAAAAAGGAAAAAAATAGTTTGAGGAAGAAAGAATCTAAATGAAGAACTCTCAAAGGAAGGGTACTAAAAAAGAAATATAGAAAAGGTGGTCCAAGGTCTGAACACAATTCAAGATGGTGGGTGAGAATCCAAACATGCTAGCGAACACGATCAGTGTAAGCAGGTTGGACCAGCATTGTCCATTGGAGAAACTGTGCAGGTCACGTAGCTCATTCTAGGTTTTCTAGTAGTTACATTAAAAAAATAAATAAGTAAAAAGAAACAGGTGAAATTAGTTTTAAAAATATATTTTAATTAACCCAATATATCAAAAATGTCCAAAATTTATGTATTTCATCTTTACATCACTTTTTTAAAAAGTTTTATCTATTTGAGAGAGAGAGAGTACAGGAAATGGGGGGGGAGAGAGAGAAGCAGACTCCCCACTGAGAGGGAGCCCGACACAGGGCTCAATCCCGGGACCCTGGGATCATGACCTGAGCCAGAGGCAGACGCTTAATTGACTGAGCCACCCAGGTGCCCTTTTATAGTACTTTTTTTTTTTTCAAAGATTTTATTTATTTGACAGAGAGAAAGAGAGCGAGCACAAGTAGGCAGAGCGGCAGGCAGAGAGAGAGGGAGAAGCAGGCTCCCTGCTGAGCAGAGAGCCTGACGCGGGGCTCGATCCCAGGACCCTGGGATCATGACCTGAGCCGAAGGCAGACGCTTAACCAACTGAGCCACCCAGGCGCCCCTTTTACAGTACTTTTTAAGTGACCAACAGCCACATGTGCCTAGTGCCCACCGCTTTGGACATTTAAAAGGTAAAGATGATTACACTAAAAACGAACAAGAAACTGGGGTGCCTGGGTGGCTCAGTGGTTAAGCGTCTGCCTTCGGCTCAGGTCATGATCCCAGGGTCCTGGGATGGAGCCCCACATCTTCTCCCTCTGCCTGCTACTCCCCCTGCTTGTGCTCTCTCTTCCTCTCTGGCAAAAAAAAAAAAAAAAACAACAAAAAACAACAACATCAACAACAACGACAAAAAACCGAACAAGAAACCTAGCTATATGCTGTTTGCAAAAGACGCAATTAAAACAGAAGGATGCAAGAACAGTGTAAAAGAATAAAAGCCAGAATAAAGACATTTTAAAAAAAGATGTAGTTATACCATATCAGAGGAAATAGCTTTTGAAAAGAGAAATATTCATAGAAATAAAAAGGGTCACTGTGCCATGTTACATTGACCAGAAAGTGAAAATAATTCTAAATGTTTAATCTAATACCTTGGCTTCAAAATAATAAAGCAAAACTCCAGGAGAAATAAACAACTCCCAACTCCCCAGCGGGGGGGGGGGACGGGGGGTTCAACACACCTGTTTCTGTAACTGATAAATCTAGCTGACTCAAGGTTATAGGAAATTCGAGTAACACTATTAACAAGCCCGATCAAATGGACGTAGTAGGCTCTAAAGACAAGGAAAACACAAGTTTTTCAAGCCACACAGAACAGTAGGGAAAAATGAATACTTTCTAGACCATAAAATGAACTTCGGTAAATTTTTTTTTAAAGATTTTTATTTATTTATTTGACAGAGAGAGACCCAGCGAGAGAGGGAACACAAGCAGGGGGAGTGGGAGAGGGAGAAGCAGGCTCCCCGCCGAGCAGGGAGCCCGACACAGGGCTCGATCCCAGGACCCTGGGATCATGACCCGAGCCGAAGGCCGACGCTTAACGACTGAGCCACCCAGGCGCCCCTGAACTTTGGTAAATTTAAAAGATTTGTACTTTATACCCTTATTTTCTGACTATAACATTAGGTCAGAAATCAAGAACAGATATCCCCAAACTCCTCATATGTACTAAAATTTAAAAATATGTATGTTTTCTAAATAATCCAAGGCTCTAAGGACAAATGACAATGAAAATGAGAAGATATTTGGAACCTAATGCCAATAAAGATATATATATATATATATATTTTAAAGATTTTATTTATTTATTTGACAGAGAGAGACACAGCGAGAGAGGGAACACAAGCAGGGAGAGGGGGAGAGGGAGAAGCAGGCTTCCCGCCGAGCAGGGAGCCCGATGTGGGGCTCGATCCCAGGACCCTGGGATCGTGACCTGAGCCGAAGGCAGACGCTTAACGACTGAGCCACCCAGGCGCCCAGCCAATAAGGATAGTATTTATCAAAATGTGTGAGCTACAACTGCAATGGTACTTAGAGGGTATTTTATGACCTCGTATGTTTATATTACGAAGGAGAAGACAGGTAGAAAATTAAGGGTCAAGTAGTCAGTGCAACTCTACTGCTTTAGGGTAGGAAGTCCCCCCTGCTGGACCACAGTGAAGGAGCCTGTCCCCAGCAGAGCAACAGAGATGGCCTGGCCCCTGGGGGTGGCCAGCTGCCCAAGGGGGGGTTGGATGGATGGGTAAGGACTGTGCTTGTCCAGTTCTGCTCCCAAACTCTCTGATGATGAGGTATGTTCCTGGTGGGCCCCCTGGAAGGATGCCCAGGGGTAGAGAGAGAGGGAGGGACGTCACAGAATTGACCCCTTCTGCATGAGAACAGGCACTGGGAAAAAGGAATTCCCTGCCCCTCCAGCCCCCCAGCAGGTGTCAGCAACAAACAGAAAAAGCATGTTAAAAAAAAGAAGGCACCACTGGGGCGCCTGGGTGGCTCTGTCGGTTAAGCTTCCAATTCTTGATTTACGCTCAGGTCTTGATCTCAGGGTTGTGAGACGGAGCCCTGTGTCAGGCTCTGGGCTGGGAGTGGAGCCTGCTTGATTCTCTCTCTCCCTCTGCTCCTCCCCTCCCAGATCTCAAGCTC